AGTACGCTGAAGGCTTATACCGCTTTAAGCAATGATACCAGTAACTACAATGATACCGTATCCGCCAATATCTATGTGGCAACGCCTCCTGTCGCACCTGCTCTTACCAACAGGGGTATGTGTACCGGCGACTCTATTCAATTGAATGGGGCAGCCAACGATAGCACGCTGACGTTCTATTATAACAGCAATACCGCAGGCAATCCGCTCTCCCTTACAACACCGATCACCGTGCGCCCGGCCAGCACGACTACTTACTATGCATCCAATGTTTTTACATTGCCGGCGCATGCAGGGAAGACGGAATTCACCAGTGCGCTTTACAGCTTCTTCTCGCTTAACTGGGGCATCAATTTTGACGTCGTCAACAATATGATCCTGGACTCCGTTGCCTTGTATCCCACAGGTACCGGCAGCCTTACGTTCAGCATACGCTCCTGTGCGTCCTGCTCCAACCAGGTTATCCTGGGCACCTATACCCATACTTTTACGGGAGCAACCGGCACCAAGATCATGGTACCGGTAGGCTTGTTGATGACAAAGGGAAAAGGCTATATTATGCAACTGGATTCGTATAACGGCATCACCGACCTTAAGCGTGATTATCCATTCTCCGGTTATCCGGTTAAGAAACCATCAGCTCCTATTATAGTTAATACCGCAGCGGGCAACTCACCGGCTATGTTTGATGGGTACTATTATTTCTATGATCTTGTCACCAGATCGGTAGGCTGCGAAAGCGGACGTTCTGCTACGACTATTTCCGTTAACAGCACACCACGTGCAAGCTTTACGGTATCGCCAAACGTAAGGGTTGTAACGCTGACTAATACCTCCACCGGCGGCGGCACTTATGCCTGGGATTTTGGCGATGGTACTACCAGTACCCAAACGTCACCGGTACATACTTATCCGGCAAATGGCACTTACCCGATCAAGCTGGTCATCACCAATGCCTGTGGCCAGGATTCTGTGATCCAATCTGTGGTCATCAACAATGTTGGGATACAGGAGCATAACGCGGCATTCCCATCCTTGAAGTTATTTCCGAACCCGGCGCAGGATAAAATAACACTGTCGTTTGAGGCCGACAATCACTACCTCTTACACGTATCCATCTACAATCTCGTGGGTGTAAAAACCTTTGAAGAAATGGTGCCGGTAAAGGCTGGCAGCAATTCAATAGAAAGAAATATCAGTCATCTACCCAATGGGCATTACCTGATACAATTACGCAATGGCGCTGCTAAAACAACACTGCCCTTAGTGATTACCGGCAAGTAAAATGACGCGCCAGCCACATCTTTATTTTAAGAACAGATGTTACCTATTACCAGCAATGGCTGTCCTCAAAACAGGACAGCCATTGCTATTTCAGATCAGTACTATAACATACCACTACCTTACCTGACTTCAAAGACAGCATTCATTTTAAACAGGAATTCATCGGCGGCTTTTAAGCTGGCGGTTACATTGTATCCCTGTTCGTTGGCTTGCCAGGAGATTGCTACGTCCGGCTTTACGTCGGGTAAAATC